AGCGTGAGCGTGAACGTGTATTGCACGTGCTTGCTCGTTTGTTCCTGACAGAGTGAACGCCGCTCTCGTTCACGTTCATTGTATGAAAAGTGATTCGTTCAGTTCAGCATTCGGCAAAAATATTAACGAGTTCAGTGAACATTGTTCATTGAACGCGTTCATGCACAACACTGGAGGCTAGTATCTAAGTTCTTGAGATTCAACAGAAGTTTAGACGGTAATGTTTTATGGAAGTCAACTTGCCATTATGGTGGTCACTATTTGCGTGAGTTCACACCCCTCTGTCCCCCACTCAACTAAGCCCAGCTTACTCCCTCCTGCTGCTGAGGTTGTTCCTTCCTCGTAGTTCACATGTGACCTAACCACAATCTCTCCGCAACCCAACCATAAGCGCCAACCTGTTTGACTAAGGCTGTTGAGCCCCACTGGTGCGTTAAAGCAGTTTCAGTGGCAACAGTTCCGTATGGCATACCACCTACTGCAAAACACAATATCTATCCAACCACCACCCCTCATTCACGCAATATACACAAGAACGTAATGACTGTAAATACTGTGCAAACTATACAAATAAACTAACAGACTTTTCAAGTTTTTCAAGAATTCTACGAAACCGTAGCGTGGCGGCCTGTACACAGTCTCAGCCACAGCCAGTTGCTGCTTCTTTCTGCCGCTTCAGATCAGTTCTTTACTGTGCGACGAAACTCTTGGCCATTGAATCCGACGTCTCTGAGGAACCGGGTTGTAGAGTGTGCCACAAAACCTTGACAACTCACTTCCACTGGATAAACCTGGACTCTCCATCCTCGCTGTTCTGCTTCAGTGGCCAGATGAGCATACCGCAGTTTCTTCCTCTCACATGCATCATCTACTGCATCCTCCCATTGCACTGTTAACTCTATCAGTTGAACAAGGCATGCTGATCCAGACCACAAAACAATATCTGGTCAGAGGTTATCTTGGCTAAGAGCCACCTTACATCCTGTCAAAATGTGCCTTAATGTGGCAGGTGATGAACACAAAGGACAAGAGGGATCCTCTCCCACATAATATGTTGACCTGATAAGGAAACTGATCCTACTGTCTTCCATTGACCAAAGGTCTTCTTGCCAGCCCATCTTGTGTTGTTCCACACTCTCCTAAACTATATTTCTCCATCCATTTACATTTCGTTCCATATGGTAGTGTAGGAATGGGCGATATATCGCACAATATTGTTATGCGCATCTAATCAGTAAAGCCGGTTCCTTGATTAGTAGTAAATCACCTTCACCTGCTTTCAGATGAACATATGAGTGTTAAATTAACACTCAAGAGTGTTAAAGTTAATGAGACAATTAAGTGATTAATTTAGTGATGATTGAGCATTATTGAAGACACCTGATGATCACAAGCAGAATCGCTGAAGGAGAAAATCACAAATTGTAAGTCACCGTTATGGAGATCTGTGTTTGTTTTAGTTGGGCTCTTAACACTTTTACTTTCACTTTAAATTTTGTTTGCCCGTTGTTATTGATTTATAACAGTCAAATGAACAAAGTAAACTGTGATCTGATAGTGTTGGTTATGTTTTGACATAATCATGCTGTGATCTGTAAAATGAAACTTATTCAAATGGTCTGGTTTAACTTGTTAACAACAGTTTTGTGTTTCTACTGCATATCTGCATTATTCTTATAACCTAAAATATTTAATTAAAAATATTCTGATCAAATCACAATCATCTTTATTTACAAACATAGAAATCAATAATCAGCCTGTGTATCTCAACCGTGGTGACAATAATCCTTGTTGCCACCAATCACAACTCATTATTGGCTCCCATCATGAACTAATGTAGGGAATAGTGAATGAGGGTATAGGGTGTGATTATGAACACAGTCTCTGAGTGTCGACTTTGAGAGCTGTTAATTCACAGTATATTCCAGTAGGGTAGTTTTGTTTTCTACGGTATATTACTGTTTTAATGGAAAATGGTATGATAGTGTCAGAATTTGGCCTGTTGCCAGTATTTTATTGTAAAAAACCTGGCAAGGTCTAACAGTGTAGACATTACCATGTTTTTTACAAAAGAAAAACAAAAGAAGTGATTCTGTTTGTTAACAGCAGGTGTTCATCACTAATGCTCAACAATCACTTACATATCCACTTAAAGGGATAGTTCGGCCAAAAATGATATTTAACACATGCATTACTCACCCTCAAGCCGTTTGAGATGCATATGTCAATCTTGTTTCAGACGAACACATTTTCAGTTATTTTAGACAATTTCTTAGACCCTTCAGTGGATATAATGTGAAGAAATGGGGTCCAGCTCCTTCAAGTCCCAAAAATGTGCATACAAAATTCACAAAAGTAATCCATCCGGCTCCAGTGGGATAAACAAAGGCCTTCTGAGGGTAATCCGTTCAGTATTGTCATAAAAATATACATATTTAAAACTTTATAAATGAAAATATCTGACTTCCGGCAACGATCGACGTACGTTCACGTGTGATGGAAGTCGGCGTACGAGGTAGGACGTTAGCGTAGGAAACGTCGCAACGTCACAACGGTTCCTACGTACGTACAACAGTGTTGCCAGTATTTTGCTGTAAAAAAAACCTGGTAAGGCCTAACAGTGTAGTGATTTATTTATTTATTTATTTTTGTCACAAATACCAATTATTTGAACATATAACATCATTTTTTTTCAAATAAACACTGTCAATCTCTTTATCAGTGAACTGGACGAACTGGTCTAACTCGATGGGTATTTATGGTCTGAATGCTATATATAAGTGAATGCTGTGTGCGTGGGAGTAAAAACTTGGTCGTTTCATCATCGACACGCCAGTCTCTAGTTTACTTCTGATTTTTACTCGTCTGGTGTTGATCATAAAATGGCTCACAGTGCAGGTAAGTTTTGATCACCATTAAAATATGTATGAGAATGTCAAACTTTTTTTTGTACAATGAAAGAATGAATTTCGTTCTGTATAAACTACACTGTAAAAAGAAATCCTAATTTGCACAGAAAATAAGTGTGATTTTTTTGACGATAATTTTCTTTCATTTTAAATTGTACTGAAAACCCTGTAAAATTACAAATACTATCTGTAAAATAAAAATGCAGCTGATATTTTAGGTATTATTACATTAATGACAAATTCCAGTTATTCACATTTTTTTTTTACAGAAAATTGATTGTTATTTTTATACAATGTTTTTCTGTTTTCTTAAATTACATAAAAATGTATGTAAAATTACAAATATAATCTGTAATTAAACGGTAACAAAACAGATAGATGATTACATGACTGGCAGCTCACTGTAACATTAAAGTAAAACATCATAAATTAAATAAACAGTTATTTATAGGTATTTCCTGCATTATTATGATCAAATACCGTCATTGTAAAAAAATTGTAACAAAAGGGTCAATTGACTGGCAGCGCAGGGTGCCAAACAAACACCATTAAATTAAAGTAAAATATGTTAATTTAAATAAAGTGCAATCTGTTGAGATTACATTATAAATAGGCGTGCTTAGGTTGAGATAAAATCTATGATTGTTGTACTTTTCCCCATGAACCTTGAAATATTGAAAACATTTTGGAATTAAGGACTTATTGAAATTTTTCTAATTTGAAATTTAAGAAAACTGTCTATTATAAAGAAAATGTTTGATCTGGTTTATTTTTTAGGAGTATGACATAAATAATCAACATATGAATCTCAACAATGGTGACAATCAACAAAGCCTTTATGTGACTTTATAGTAGTTCAGAGTTGATCACCATTGTAGTGATGCATACGCTGATTATTGATGTCTGTGTGAGTCTATATGATTCTGTCAAAACACTTTCTGTATTTTGACTTGATAAAATCTTAGTATCACAGCACTGCATGATTATCTATTGCAGTATTGAATTGCTAAATTTACAAACAATATTTAACAAAATAATCAGATATTACATTTTTCAAGAGGTATCAATAAACTACTTGATGTCTAGTAAGTGACCAGATCTTCTGACCTGAGAGTCTCTTGGAGTCCTACTATATCAAATATGTATCAGCAACACATAGTTAAAGCAGTAAGAGATAAAGTAATGTTAAAACAAAGGGTCAAGAGCCCCACTAAAGCAAACACTGATCTCCATCATGGTGACATCAAACTTTATTATTTTACATAAAAAAATCAACTTCTAAACATCTGTTAATTCTCAGAAGGAATATTGGTATGCAATAAATAAAGTCTGGATTGTAATAAGTGAGGATGCAGAGATCTTGAGAGATCTGTTGGTGTTTAATGTTCTTTTGGGATGTAAATTGTTTCTGTCTGGTGTGTTTTGTTGGTCACCATTGTGTTGAAGAGTAGAGCCTGTGCTTCAGTTCAGGATGAGCAGAGTAACACTGATGAAATGCTGCATGTTTCTTTATTTAACTGACAGTAACTGTGTAGTTGCTGATGCAGTGACGTATAGTCACACTGTTAAAATTTTCGTTGTGAATTTACAGTAAATAATTGGATAAATTTTGCATTACTTTCACAGTAAGAATTACAGTAATATAATGTGAAATATGCTCACAGCAATTTACTGTAATTTTATATCTGTGATATTACAGTACATTACTGGGGAATTACAATATATATATATATATATATATATATATATATATATATATATATATATATATAGATATATATATATGAAGAGTTTAGATGCAAAAGCCTCTAAATGCCATTTGAAATTTTCTTCTTTAATAATGATTTTTATCAAACTTTTATATTTAAGTTCAGTAATTTCACCTAAATAACAATTAATAGATAAATATCATTGCCATTAAAGTGAAATTACTGAACTTAAATATACAAGCTTGATAAAAATGATAATTCTAGAAGAAAATTTCAAATGGCACTTAGAGGCTTTTGCATCTGAACTCTTCATATAAACACACACACACACAATGTAACCCCCCCCCCCCCCCCCCCAACAACAAACAACTCTGAGGTTAAGTCAATGTTAGCCCAATGGCATATTTATTAACACATATGTTTCAATGTACAGCAAGAATTTAAGAAATTAATTTTTTTAGAATTGTGCAAACTTTTAACTGTGGAGCCTGACAAGTACCACTGCTAAAAAACACTATGACGCCCACTCAAAGTCAATTAGTTTCCTCAATAGGGTGCTAATATGAGGGTTCATTGTGGTCCTCCTCTTGGTCTTCGATCCTCTTTCGGGATTGATGCCCAGGAAGCACCTGTTAATAAGCAAAGATAGTTTCAGTTCTTAACACTTTTCACTCGTGTTTGTTGTTCTAACCGAATCCTGGTCCAACGCACAAGGTGTGCACGGATCTACACTTCGGATTCTGGCCGGGAATAGTAACGTTAGACCACCCGATAATCTTTGAAACACTTATTTCAACGTGCGATTTGGGACGTAAGTTACTAATTCTGTTTTCGAATACTATTTAGGACGGTTAGTATGTGAATTGGGACGCAGAAATGTATTAACTTAAACAGCTAACGGTTAGCCCTGCTAATCTATGATAACATTGACTAAGTACAGAAATGTGCACACATAAATAGTAATGTTTGTCCCATCACTGATTTTATAAACTCTACAAAAACCAGATTTGTCTAAACGGTGATAGACATGAAAATAGCAAAACTCGATCGTCATTAACTATTATGCTGTGAGAACTTTCAACAATTCCGGGCAGCTGCTAACAAAATGTGAACTGTGTCATGCGATAAACGTTTATTTGAAAGTAAATATTATCATATTAAAATAAAATGGGTGTAAGTGCTGCAAACATGCATGCTTACCTTCTCCGTTAAGCCCGAAATAGAAGAGGCGGCGGGAGACGACGGAGCCTGCAACAGTTCGGTTATGTCACATGACTTCCCAGGGCATAGGCTACAGTATTTCACTGCAATAATACTGTTTGCTGCTGTGAAATCCTTATTTTTTTTCACTGTGTTGCTGTGATATTACAGACCTTGCTGTGACATAACAGCAGGTTTTAAATTGCAATGTTTTATTGTAAAATAAGAGTTAAATGCTGTAAAATCCAAGGATATTGTAGTTTTTACAGGTATTCATTGGGATATTACAGGGAAATGTAATCACAACAAGTTACTGTGAAATAATACTGTTAATTATTGTGAAATGCTGGTAATTTTTAACAGTGCACATTAAATCATGCATCACTTTCCATGTTTCTTAAGAAAACATTCCCGGAACATTCTCCTTACGTTATAAAAATGGAACCTAAAAATAACCTACAGAATGTTCCTATAACGTTCTTGTTTGGTTCCCAAAAAAATAACCTCATGGGACCTTTCTGGAACGTTAGGGGAACGTTCTGTGTTTGCTGGGAAAGTGTTCTCAATATTATAAAGATTGATGCCATCGAACTAACCATCATCGAACAACCACACGAAAACGATTGACAAAAAATGACCAGCAGGTGTCGCACCGCACTGTAGTTATTTATACCCAAACCATGACCTTTTCCTAACCTTAACCAAGTAGTTTTTTTTTTTTTTTTGCCTAAACCCAACCAAGTATTTTCTGTGCCTAACTGCAACCTTTCATAATTTTTTTTAATGCTTTTAATGTTAATTTGCGTTTCAAATCTGGGCAATAGTAAGCTTAATAATAAAATATTATAACTAGACCATATAAGGTAGAATGAATCTGCAAACACTGCAGAATAACACTAAGCAGGTTTCATCAAGTGGCTCCAGGTGATCACAGCTGACAGAGGTGCAGTGCGACACCTGCTGGTCATTTTCTGTAAATTCTTTTGGTGTGCTTACTGTTAGTTCAATGCCATCGATCTTTATAGACTAGAAATGCGTGGCCACGCGCGTCTGACTGGTGGTAGTCCTGGAGCGCGCTAGTGGTGAGTCACGTGACGGTACAACACAGGAGAGGGGTACGAGAGCAGCACTAGGATTACAGAGAGCTTGCTCTGCTCTGTGACAGTAGCAGAATTTGGACAAACACGGTCAGGTCGCAAAACGAGAGAAACTGAAACTTAAGTATCGATATTTTCTCGTTGGTATCGATCAATACCGATACCAACGTTGGTATCGATATTATCGATATTAGTATCGATCTGCCCACCTCTACTTAAAATGCTTCACTAAAGATTTTGTTTGGCTGTTTTAACAGCTGGTTGAACAAAGAAATCAGATCAGATGTTCTAGATCATGTTTAGGCATTCTCATCATTTGACCTGAATGTAACGGGTAGTAACTCACTAATGGATCAGACAAAAACAATCAGAAGACTGCTTAGTACGAAAACGATGATGGTGATGCTGAGAAAAACAGGCAGAGACAGAAGGTAGGTTGAACCTTAGAAGTTAACTTTACTTTTTGTATTTTGTGATCTTTTCTCTTTAGAATTTTCCTTTTTTTTCTCAATCACAAAATAACAATACAAAATAACAGAGGAAATAAATATATACAAAAAACCTTATATACTACCTGGGTGCACCCTCTAAATAACTTTTTGCATATCAATAATCACAATTTCACTCACTGTATCCAAGTGATCACAAGAAAAAAACAAAAAACAAAACAATCACCAGTGGCCTAACACATTAACCACTGTTTCCAAGATAATATATATATATATATATATATATATATTATTTTGTATAGAATATCACATTTATGAATAATCATAACATTCAATTCAAGCAACATAAAAATAAATAATATCTGTAAGACAATTATTTAACCCGGCATGAATCATTGAATTCCCCACTGAGCAAAATGATGTCCAAAAGACGTCTTTTCAACGTCTTTGTCACAAAAGTCAGACGTTGAAAAGACGTCCACTGAGGGGCCAGAATGTAAGTTTTATGATGTCTTTTTTTGACGTGTTCTGAACGTCCGATATAGACGTTAATAGATCCTTCGTACAAGGTTAAAAACTAGTTCAAATGTGGCCATTGTGGACATGTTTTCAACATAACTTATGGTCTTATTTAGACAATTTATACTGTTTCTGGACCAAATAAACTGTTTCTGAACAAATAAAATGTGGTTTAGATGGTGATATTTGTTTCATTTTAAGTCACCATTGTGGTGATCAGTGTTTGCTTTAGTTGGGCTCTTGGGCCCAGATCACCTTACTTTATTAAGCTGTTGTAATTGTGTGTTTGTTTAACACCATTGATTGTCTAGAGAAAGCCAAGAAAAAGAAAAATCAGCTGTCATCAGCTCTTTATTGATGGTGACAAAATCAACACAATGCAAGCATTTAACAACATTTAAACTTTTGTTATTATGTTTGATATTATTACAGACCAATCTTGTGGAACTGCATTATTTGAATCAGAAGCTTTAAAATGATCACTACTAAATAAGTGAATCACATAGTCAATTTAAAATGAAAGAAAATGGTCATCCAAAAATCACAGTTATTTTCTGTGAAATTAGGATGTTTTTTTTTTTTTACAGTGTAGGGGTCCCATGTGTTCAGGGGGCCTCAGATTGGCCAGACATTTTTTTTTTTCTTAAGCGCAAACCAGGCACGGTACGGTGCCGGGATTCCAGTTTGGATGGGCCAGACCTATCGTAAACGTTAAATTAAAAACGTTGTCTAATCTGTGTTTAACCTAATAAAAATTGCTCACTAATTTACTGTTAAATTATCTGCGACTATACATAATATAGATTTTAATAGCTTAATTGATGCTCTTTAAATATTTTGTTGCATTGTAAAAAGGTTTCGGTGCGTAAGACAGAACAGAACTATCCGCGATCGCTCTCCGGGGTTTGATCAGAGCGCTTTGGATTCTCCATCACGCATCATGGGCTGCGTTTCCCGATAACGTTGTCTCTTATTGTGCTACGAAGACTCTTAAGTAGGGTGACCAGACGTCCCGTTTTTCCCGGGACAGTCCTGTATTTCAACTGTAATTTTAGTGTCCCGACTTATTATGAAAAATTCATGTTTTGTCCCATATTTCATCATTATTTTAAGTAAAACTTAAAATAACAGCCAAGTCCCAAATAGACGCTTGTCTCTTTTACACGCCTGGTGTGACTGGAGGTTGGGAAATAAAAGCCAGACTATTTTTTGTTTGTTTCGGTTTGTATTTAATCTTCTCATGTTGAATAGAAACTGTTGCGCTTGATAGGGCATATAACGAGCAGAGAACGGGCGCGCACACACACGAGCGCTGCCGCTGTCTCTCCCTCACGCATATTAATCAAAATCAATTGACACAATAGTAAAAGGTCGGAAGACCGCAGTTTCATGTGGAGTATTTGGACATTTGTAAAGATTAGAGACTAGCTTACACTCAATGAACAATATCTCAACTCTAAGTTATAAAGGCCTGTCTCATAGACACCTGTCTCAAATACAATCCGGTGCAGGTGCAATTTTTTTTCTTTTTCTTTGCTGAGTGATAGCGTGTGTATTTTTTTGGCAGTGGATTTTGTTTCATGCCTGCCTGGTACATCTGCACTTGTGGAGCCTGTGTTCTCATTAATGAATGCATCATAGCCTGTGGTTGTTGTTACACATTCTGTCCACTAGAGGGACATATAACATTACTACAATAAACATTTAGATTGCTGTTTTATTGTTAATAAAAAAGCGATCTAAATGTTGATTAGTAGGAACAAACGCGCATGCATCGATATTAACTACCAGCTATTGTGCTAACCTCGAAAATCCAGCTGTATTTTAATAATTACTTAGCTCTCCTTATTAGATAGGCTCCTTCAAAGGCGCGGTAGACGTGAATTTCTCACGGGGAGAGAGAGCGCGGGACTAGCTTTTGCACGGCACACTCGCAAGGTCTCTTGTTCTCTCCCTCTCTGCCATGTATATGTTATGCGCAGTATGTATGTTCTATCTCGCTCTAGATTCCAGGAGATTTTAACTAATTTACGGGCATCAGGGAGACGCTATCAATATGCGGGAGACTCCTGGAACTTTCGGGAGAATTAGGATGTCTGTATGGGAAACCCTGATGATAGCCTACAGCTTGGATAATGTGCACAATTGTGTTACGATTACGATTCAAAAACGTTATTGTTCATCAGACGAAACAAAAGCATTTAATTTTCACATGCATGTAAGCCTCGAGAAATTCAATTCAATATATATATATTATTAAATATATATAAAAGCAATATTCGAATAGTAACTTTACCATTCGAATAGTATTGATTTTGTTTTATATTTAATATAATTATATTCGAATGGCTCACACAAAAAGCAGCCTAGGGGCCCCTGACAACCTTAATCCGCCCCTGCTGATGATCTTACTTGATTTCACCTTTATTTCAGCTTGACAAATGCAGACACGATCCATTGAACGCAATACGGTCAACAGAAAGTTGGCGCCCGCTGTCACGGTGTGGGTTTTGTTTCTTGTCATGTTCAGCGGTTCCCTGTCTTGTCTATTAGTGATCCCAGGTGTTTCTGATCCCTTTTTATCTTATATTGCAAATTTATACAGAGCTTTATTATTTGATTTTAGGTCAAAAATCAGACATGGATCCAAATGCACAATTAAACTTAATTTTACTTGGGAAAACAAAAGTTGGGAAGAGTGCATCAGGAAACACAATACTGGGACGACAAGCTTTCGTGTCAAAGAAAAGCTCCACTTCTGTCACTCGAGATGTTGCTGTTCAATCTGGAACTGTTAATGAGTTTCCAGTCACTCTTTATGACACACCAGGATTATTCAACACACACATGAGAGAAGAGGAGATTCAGCAGATGATAAATGTAAAGGTTCTTCAGAGATGTGAATCAGGTCCCTGTGTGTTTCTGCTGGTCATTAAAGCTGACAGATTCACTGATAAAGAGAGAAAAACTGTGGAGAAGATTGAGGAGCTGTTAGGAGAAGAGCGCTTGAAGAAAACCTGGATTCTCTTCACCAGAGGAGACGAACTGGAGGAAAAAAAGATGACAATAAAAGAGTTCATCAATGACACTGAACCACTGAAGAACCTCGTTCAGAAATATGATCAGAGATATCATGTGTTCAACAACAAGAAGAGACACTCTGACCAGGCTAGATTACTACTTGCAACAATTTTCCAGAGATCTTTGGATGAAGAGTGTGAGTATTCTTAAAATCAGTAATTAAAATGTTTTAAAGTTTTTGGTTAAAATGTGTGCATCTTAATGTTGGCAAACTGTTGTGTGTCTCAGGTTCATCAATGTATTTCACCATGGCTCTTATCGCCATATTCTTCCTAAAGAACTGTCAATGACTTGCATGTGTTTTTACTTGTATATGTCATCAGATGAAGGGAGGCAGATTCCTGACCACAAAGAAAAGGCTAAACCAGACACTTCAGTCTCCAGTCTCTCATCCAGACGGATTGTTCTTCTGGGTAAAACTGGTTTTGGGAAGAGTGCAGCTGGAAACACAATACTGGGACAGAGAGAGTTTATATCTGTGAGGAGAATGAATTCAGTAACTAGTGAATGTTCAGTTGCTCACGCCACTGTTTCAGGCAGATCTGTGTCTGTAGTTGATACTCCTGGATTATTCGACACAAAGATGAAGCCTGAAGAGTTAATGAGAGAGATAGCGAGAAGTGTTTATATATCCAGTCCTGGACCGCACGCTGTTCTCATTGTTCTCAGAGTAATTGACAGATTCACTGAACATGAACAGCAGATTCCTCAGCAGATTAAGATGATGTTTGGAGAAGAAGTGTTAAAATACTCCATCATTCTCTTCACTTATGGAGATCAGCTAGAAGATGGAGAGACCGTAGAGAAACTCATTAAGGAGAACAGTATATTAAGAGATGTAGTTCAGCGGTGTGGAGGCAGATTTCACCTCTTCAACAATAGAGATATGAATAACAGAGATCAGGTGAATGATCTACTGAAGAAGATTGACACAATGATAGAGCAGAATGGAGGAGGACACTACAGTAATCAGATCTATGAAGATGCTCTGAGATTCAGACGAGTGGAAGAAGAGAGGAGACAGAGAGAAGAGCAGGAGAAACAAAGACAAGAGAAGATTGAGAGAGTGAGAATGGAGACAGAGATAAAAGCTGAGAGATATGGACTGGAAAGACCTGAAGCAGAGATACAGAGAGAGGAAGATACAAGGGAAAACCCTGAATTTGAACAGTTTCTTAGAAACCATCAGACTCGGTGGCTTATGTCAGCTTTTGCAGTTGGTCATGCGGTTGCTAGTGCTGCTGCTGCTGGTGCTGCTACTGGTGCTGCTACTGCTGCATGTGTTGGTGGAGCTCTTGGACTTATTGCTGGCCCTGTTGGTGCTGCTGTTGGTGCCTCTGTTGGTGCCACTATTGGTGCCACTGTTGGTGCCACTGTTGGTGCCGCTGTCGCTTTTCGTAAGTGGATTAGGCTTAGATGTCATATACGTTGATGTGAGAATAGTTCTCTTGATCCACAGATCTAGGAGACCCAAACCCCTGAGACTATCCACTCTTCAAACCTGGTGCATGTTTAAATCAGGCCAGAGATTCTGGCCCCCTGGCCATTTATTTCTGTCCTCCATAATGAAAATGATAAAGATTATTTAATTATCTAGTTTGTTTCAACTGCCACATACTTTTATTTATAAGGGGTGATACATAAATCATTTATTTGTATTGTTACACTTAGTTTTATGTATTAAATCTTTAGTTTTACCTTTATTCATTTGTACTGGTACCAAAGAGAGGTCTTTAGGGTAATAAGATTGAAAACATACATTTTTGCTTTATATAATAACATTAGTGATCAATTTTATGTTAATAAACTTTTTTTTCTAATTTGAAATCCAATAACACAGGAAGGGAATAATGTAGTAGGATCATTCTTTTTTGGTGGAGTTTATCTGTATTTTTTTTATCTGAATTTTTAAAAATAGTTGTTTTTTGAGTGGCATACACAAAAGTAATGACTGATAGCTCCAAAACTGTAGCATGGAGAGTCAAAAAAAGAAAAGAAAAAAAGAAATAACAAAACAAAAATTACATTTGAACATTCTCATGCTGAGAAAAAAATAAATGCTGATATATAAAAAAGACTCGTAGTCAAGGGAAATATTATATATTTTTCTAATTTGATATGTTTTTAATTATTCTGTTTGGCTAAAAGTATGGTGTATTACAAAAAATTAAATTAAACTAGCAAGAAATATGATATATCAACTTTCATAAGTTTATTATACAATAGCCTAGCAATACACAAATCAAACCCAATCAAGTTTTTGGTATGTACATATTTCGAAATATGATGTGATAAGATTACAGCGATAATAATTTTTCTGTCAACACCAAATGTGACATGACTACAAGATCTGTCAAAAACAATCAAAACCACCAGCCAATCAGAACAGCGTGTGGGCGGAGTCTCTCGGCATGGGCACAGCACATGAGTAATCTTTAAAGCACTCGCAAGAAAATGGATAAGTACATGATTTTGTGTATATAATTGTCCTAAAATGATTTCCATTACACCAGAGTAATGTTAAAACTTTCATGTTGATTTGCACTCGGCTTTCACCAAGATGCACCAACTAAGACATAGCTTTACAGTAACCTGTATCTCCATCCATATGGTGATGTGAATATCCTTCTGCCTGGTGTTAATGGCTGAAGTATATTTCCGGTTCCTGCCTCCTTCTTCCCGGGTTCAGGCACCAGTGTAATACAGTTCATTGTTATGGGAAGAAGGCAGGAACTGGCGAAAATTTTAAGATTTTAATGAGATAAAATAAATAAATAAATAACAAAGCTAAAATAAAAGATTTTGATTAATTTGACAATCTTTTTGTGGTGAGTATGATCATACTTTTTCTTAGCTTTTTCTGCCACAGTGACTGTGTTATATACAAACACACAGCAGCCAATGAAAAGCTTATGCTAAAAGCTGAACGGGGACCAAGAGCCCAACTACAGCAAACTTATCACCACAATAATGACTTTAAATGAAACAAATATTAACATCTAAATCTCTGTTAATTCTCATTAAGATCTTCTGTACATGTCTGACAGAAATAGTCAAAGTATATGTATTTTATGTGATTAAGGGCAGCACAAGTGTCACAAGTCTTTCCTTCAGATCTGGTTTCTCTCACTATCCAAATATGTGTGATTTAACAATGTGTATATTATGTTCATGATTTTTGGACAAACACAAATTTACTGTGAGATGTTAATGGAAATTACAAATTGAAATTACAATGAAATAAACATGACTTTTAATTCAGTGCATCCTGAGAGTGTTTATTTGGTCCAGAAAAAGTATAAATTAAATATAAGAGACCATTAATGATGTTGAAAATATGTCCACAATGGCCACATTTGAACACGTAAAAAAATGACTTGAAAAAAATGTCTTTTGGACATAATTTTGCTTATGGGAAGCAGTTATGTTAACGATAAGTGATGCTGGGAACATTTTAAGCTAAAACAGCTTGCCATAATCCTAGTGAACAGTGACCGAGGAACACGAAGGTGATGTTCTGCTGCTACTCATAGTCAGGGGCGTAATTTGCGGGTGGGACGGGTGGGACATGTCCCCACCACTTTTTGCCAAGGTCGATATTGTCCCCACCACTTTTTAAAAGTTCTCGCTGCACGGATAGCTAACAGTAGAAATAAATAAAACATCTCCAACTGGCAGACCAGTCATTTCGTTCGTTTGTAAAATAAAAGAAGCGATCTAGCCCTGAAATACGTTGTTTTTTTTAAATCAAGTGATCAAAGTGCTCCTTGCCGCCTGCGATCGGTGGCGCGGTTACAGTGTATCTCGTGGCTCACGCAGTCTTCACATGCATGCGCGCTTCAATCCGTTTCGGAGACTGTTTCGGAGACTTTTTGTTCGTTCAGGTGCAGAGAATGTGAGCGGAGTGGAGCGGGAAGCTCGAGCGGGCGGATCTTAGACAGAGCGGAGAGGGGCATTTTTTAAAGGACGGAGCGTCACCCTATTTCCCGCTCCAATTTCGCTCCGCTCACACCACGAGTCTGACTCCACGTCTTTTCCCCGCCTAGCTCGCATTGTGTTCAGCATCCCAAGCGGAGAGGGTTTTCTCCGCAACAACCGCATGAGTCTGAAGCCTCAGACATTGTCCAAACTTGTGTTCTTGAAGGTGAACTCTTTCTTTCTTTCTTTCTTTCTTTCTTTCTTTCTTTCTTTCTAAAAGTTTGACAATGTAGGCTAACCCATTTAAATTGTAGCCTAATGTGCACTCTGCGCAAAAGTTCAGTTATACGAATTTTGAAACAAAACGTTGTAACCTACAGTAGGCCTAGCCTGTATATTCTTATTTATAATAAAGTCATTTGATTCGTTTAATTTTACAGCATTCTACCATTGATGAGCATAATTTTATTAGGCTATTTGTGCGCGCTGTGCAAACGTTTGGTTATCAAAATGTTGACCAGTTAATTTACTTTTTTAAATGTACTTTTAAAATGTTTATGTAGGCCTTTATTTTTTTATTTTTTACATTTTTGTTTATACACTTATTTTTTATCTTTATTTATAAGGCCCATTTATTCGTTTAATTGTACAGCAGTTTGTGTGTACAATGGATAGGCTATAAGCCAATTTTAATTTTAATCTTGCGCGTTCCGCAAAAAATCAGTTATCAAAATTCTGGCCTAATAGCCTAGTTAATTTACTTTTATTTATATTTTTGTTTATATAATTTTTATTCATACTATTAGGTCACTTTATTCGTTTAATTTTACAGGACTTTCTGTAGGCCTATAGCATAAGCTATTCCACATGTTGTAAAGTCGGATCTATGTTTTATTCACGTGTCACGTGATTCATTCATTTATACACATGTCCCACCCACTTTTTATAACAAAGTTACGCCACTGCTCATAGTGTTAATAAAAATACACTAAGATACTGTCGGTTGGTCTGGGAACGCCCCCGGGAACGCCCCGTCACGTGGTGTGAATTTAGCCCGTGGGGGAAAACAGTGCCTTGGCGCTCATTGAAATACATGGGACAATCATGCCGAAGAGTTGCTGTGTCGTTTTCTGTACCACCAATAAACTAACAAATTATAAATTGAAGTTCTACAGCCTTTCTTACATACATACAGAACCGGATAGGAGGACAAAATGGCAAAATTAATCATATCTTATTAGATTACTGTGTGAGTAGAGGTCCGTGTGATATAGTAGTAGGTGTTTAACTCGTATTAGGCAGTGGGCCAGATTTGTCTGACGTTACATCCCTTACGAAAAAGAGCTATAGTAATCCTATGGCTATTAGTATTCTATAGTAGTGTATAATACTTCTGTGATGTTCATTAATATACTTCTAGGCTATGTCCCAAAATACTATAGTATTCCTATAGGATTAACGTTACTATAATATTTTGTCCTAAAATACTACAAGATTCCTTTAGTTGTTTTTCATAAGGGATGTTATTAGCGTTATCAGCTGAAGGTTATCAGACTGCAGTCTGTGAGAATTCGGATAACTGTCAGCAAAGTCCCTCTGCAACTGATCACCGTTTTACAAAAGGATTAATAGTTTGGAGTGAAGCATACGTACAATTGGTAAGTGACATGGTTTTATGGACTTATAGTAACTTATACGCAAGTTGATTGAGTTACAGGCTTGTGTTGCCGGTAGCTTTCTTGTGTCTTACCTGAAGATTCAACCAGATAATATAGTCTGGAAACGACACCTCCGGCCATTTGGTGGGTCATTGACCCAGTTTTTAATTAAATAAGGGCAATCATAACCTATTACAGTTAATTTTGCAATGTACCGTTGCCGGTCGGCAGGCATAAATGACTCGCAATATGACATTTTTGTCATTCAAATACATAGGATGGTCGCGCTGCTTTCCCCCACGCCGACCACGCCCCCCAACTATGACGCGCTGCCGACTGTATGAGAGAGCGAGAGAGAGAGAGATTTTAAAATGTGTTCAAATAGAGAAAGATTGTGAATCATTAAATCATTTTACAATATTACTGTTTTTGACAGACAAACGCAGCCTTAAGAATGTACTTTAAAAGAAAAAAAACTTCTAAATCCTAGATTTTTGAACAATGGTGAAGGCTATATAATACCTATAGCCTTTATAAACTAAAAAATATATCAGTTTTAAATATATATTAAGTTACTTTGAAATTTTTCACTGTTTAAATCAGAACAGTTTCTGTCATTTTAGTGTGTCTGCATGAGGTAATCGCAGATGCTAACACATTGGGGCTCTTGAAACCCCGCCCTCTGCAGCAGCTCATTTGCATTTAAAGGGCCATGCACAAAATGGTCCATTTTTGTAAACCCTCAAAAAGTGACAACTTTAACATGCTATATAAAAATATCTGGGTGGGTATATTGTGCTAAAAGTTCACACACACACACACACACACACACACACACACACACACACACACACACACACACACACACACACACACACACACACACACACTGAGGGACATCAGAGATTTATTTTACATCTTGTGAAAATGGCATTTTACCACCCTTTTAAAGGCCTGAGGTTGAAATATGTTTTTTTTGAAGGTTTAATACATGTGTCTAATGATATGAGCTATTTAGAAAATGATTTATATGTTGTAAAAAAAAGAAATCCCAGTGTTTCCAGAATGTCTGTAAACATGTTATCTGCTAGTATTTTCCATAGACATTATAAGAAAGGTATTTTCCCTCTGACTCGCGACGCTTCTCTCTCCAGTCCAGCGGGGGGCGTAAGTCTTGCGTTTGGTTTCAAGATTACAGCCTAATCTTTGGTGTTATTATATATCGTGCTACTGGCTTTATACAAACTGTTACTTTTAGTCTAGAAAGATTTAAATCAGGTCAATACATACATCCCTGTAATATTCCCATCCTCACAGACGTGACTTGAAGTTTTGAATCGAGCAGGAGTATTTGGAGTTGCTGCAACTGAACTGAGAAGAAAGTGTGTGTTAAAACTAAAGAGGAGATTGAGGAGGACTCGCGTGAACCAGAAACCTTGAAGAATATAACACGAGGAACAAACAGGTTGGTGTGTATTCTAGAATCAGCTTTAATGTCTGTTCTGGTACAGTAATCTAAGAAAGCTTTAAACACGTCCCATACAAATATTTCCTGTGGTATTCTACATCAAAAGCAAACTGGTGTGGTAATCTTTGTTATTAATGACATAATTTATAATATCTGCAAAGGCCAGAGCATTAAACTTATTACATGTATAGTCTCTCACTTAATTTGCTTCTATGTTAGAACACGATTATCTGATCAAAATAACAATATGTATTGCAGTGATAAAAAAAAAAAAAAAAATCGGATTTGTTTAAGTTTCTGAATGAACATATCAATGTTGAGAAAGCAATCATGTCTCTAGCTTTAAATATGCAACTTCGCCGGCTAATGAATGCATAAAGTGACTAGGATATAAACTAGGCTAATGTAAATAGATTGCGACATTAAACATTACAACAACACACTGTACAACAAAATCCTGTGGGAAAGCGTCCCAAAAAACAACACAATACTACACAATATTTTAGTTTTCTGTCCCTCCATTGGAAATGGAGGTACGGTATACTGTCCATTGTCCAGAAAGGAAATAAAGACATCATCAAAGTAGTCCATCATTGGGTTAGTTACAATGTTTTGAAGAATCGAAAATACATTTTGGTCCAAAAATAACAAAAACTACGACTTTATTCAGCATTGTTATAGGTGTGTTGGACATCGGCTGCGGCTGGATGGATGTAAAGCCCCGTTCACACCGCTCTGTACTGTGATGTCGCTTGTGGGCGTTTGTAGTGCTGTCGCTCTGATGTTATTGGTAGACTGCACGTTTGGCCATAGATACAAAATACCATCACAAGTGATATATACAGCACCCAAGTTTTGTGATAGTATTGAATCGGTAGATAGGTGTATCGTCCCAGCCCTATTGAATGCAAGTCAATGCAACGAAAAGTGTGACCGGCCCTTAAAAATGTTAAAAGTTGAGTAAAATAAATGTATTATCTATCTAAATGTTGATATACAAATTATGGCACGATTGTTGAATGCCAATATTATGTTAGATAATTGTGTGGTTGATCAAATATATTCATTAGTTGTCCCTACTGTTATGTCGCTTTCTTGTCTAGGCGCAGCGGGAGAGTAGCATGGCATTAGATGGCGCTTAATGTAAAACATAAATAATAATAGAATACTATACTAGGGTGATCATATTCATGCAATGTTTTATTATGGCAGATAAAAAAACGAATTAAATAATGATAGAAATAATTGTCTTCTGTATTAGAAAAATAAATATAAATAACTAAAAGAAATGCCTCCAAATGTAACAAATATAGCTCTCACAAACTTACAAAAACGAACTAACAAAATCTATTTATATATTTAGTTTTCATTCTCTTTATCTTGTTTTTCTTCCTCGTCCACCTTGTTTGCCCATCTATATTTTGCTGTTGAACTGATCTTTCCCTGCATTTTTTTTTTTTTTTTTTTGAAAACCAGGACATTTTCATAACTTAAAAACAGTCAGGACAGGACGTGGAAACAGGACATGTGTTACGCAAAGTTGAGATGTTGCCCAGAGAAAAAAACACAGCAGTCGTCGGATGAACAGATGCACGAGAGACGAGAGTTGTCGTATTTCCCCGCGTTTAATAAAACCACTTAAACGTTACACTCGTCGTCATACATGGGGATCGAGCGAGAGAAAAAAAACACAAACAAACATCTGGTCAAAATAGAAAAATATAATAAAAGAAAGAATACAAAGAGTCGGCAGAGCGGTTATCTCCTCTCCTCACTTGTCAAAATCTAACTGACACTACACACACTATGCGCAGTTCTCATCTCAACTCAGATTTCTATAAAGCACAAAGTGACCGTTTTACACACGTCCTGGGAAAACAGGACTGTTGGTCACCCTATACTATACTATTATTACAGAAATACTAATATAAATATTATCATATAGCTCTTTATGTTCCGAGACCAGCAGCTCAACATTCATCTTGCCCATAGGTATCTTATCTCTTCTTCGCCGTATGTGTGCTCGGCAAGACCGTTTTGTGTTTGAGCGCCCCCAAGTTGTGTTTTACTGTAACTTCAGAAGTACCAGACACGTGAGCAAACCCGCCAATCTCGTTGGTCGGATAGGTTTTGACACGGCGCGTCAAACCAAAAAAACGAACCCGAGGCGTTTTTTAAAAATGAAAAAAAAAAAAAAAATTTAAAATTAAAAAAAAAAAAATTTCGCGTCGGTGTGAACACTCACATTGGCGCCCATTGTTTAGTCACGAGGCGTTAAACGTCGACGAATATAGCGCGCAAAATTCGTCCGGGTGTGAACAGGCCTTAAAGGGTTAGTTCACCCAAAAATGAAAATTAAGTCATTAATTACTCACCCCCATGCTGTACCAACCCCGTAAGACCTTCGTTCGTCTTCGGAACACAAATGAAGATATTTTTGATTAAATTTGAGAGCTGTATAACTACCACATTGGCTCCTAAGGGACTGCCTCTCTTGACGGCCCAAAAAGTCAATGATTTATCAAGCGACGCGAATACTTTTTGTGCGAAAAAACAAACAAAAATAACGAGTTTATTCGACTATTTCTTTTCTTCCTTGTAGGCCAGAACGAGACTTCCTTATAGATTTCCACGACGCATGCGCGAGAATTGCGATCTAAAGCAGCATGCGTCGTGAAAATCTAAGGAATTCTCGTTCTGGCCTACAAGGAAGAAAAGAAATAGTCGAATAAACTCGTTATTTTTGTTTGTTTTTTCGCACAAAAAGTATTCGCGTCGCTTGATAAACATATAGTTGAGCCACGGTAGTCACTTGGGATATTTAAACATTTTCTTCATTGACTTTCTGGGCCGTCAAGAGGCAGTCCCTTAGGAGCCAATGTGGTAGTTATACAGCTCTCAAATTTAATCAAAAATATCTTCATTTGTGTTCCGAAGACGAACGAAGGTCTTACGGGGTTGGTACAGCATGGGGGTGAGTAATTAATGACTTAATTTTCATTTTTGGGTGAACTAACCCTTTAAGGTTAATAACAGTAAAAAATAACCCAAACAAAAGAAAAGATAGGACGCTTCAAGCTTCTGAATGGGATTAAAGCCAAAACAAACAAACAAAAGTGTAAGCTACCTGGAAGTAAGGGAGTCTAATTAACCTATAAAACAAAACAACTACCTCCAACGTAAACTTCAAACAACAGAAAACTTCAGTTAGCGTGTCTAGATGTTTTTTTCATTTCACTTCATATTTCTCGTCATCGTTATTTTGATGTACAGAAATTTAAATTTTATTTTTTCTTTCATTTCAGACCTGATGGAAGTGAACAAGGTGAGTGAAGAACTGAGTGAAGTGGAGGAGGAACATTGTGTCAAACCTGGAAAAAAATGCTCAAAGACTAACAATACATTTTTAAAGAAAAGAGACAAGAAATCATTCTCCTGCACTCAGTGTGGAAAGAGTTTAACAACCAAAGGAAACCTTAAGTGTCACATGAGAACCCACACTGGAGAGAAGCCGTTCACGTGTGATCAGTGCGGGAAGAGTTTCACACAAAAAACACATCTTATGGCGCACGTGAATATCCACACTGGAGAAAAACCGTTCACATGTGATCAGTGTGGGATGAGTTTCGGTCTATCAGCATACCTTAAAGGACACATGAGGGTCCACACAGGAGAGAAGCCGTTTATTTGTGAACAGTGTGGAAAGAGTTTCCCACACAAATATAGTCTTGTACTTCACAATAGAGTTCATACTGGAGAGAAGCCGTTCTCATGTGATCAGTGCAGCAAATCATTTCTTAGTGCAGGAGCCCTGAAGACACACCTAACAGTTCATACGAAGGTGAAGCCACATTCATGTTCTGTGTGTGGGAAGAGTTTTTCACTGCTGCAATATTTAAAAATACATCAGAAAACTCATACTGGTGTGAGAGCTCACATGTGCTTTGAGTGTGGGAAGACTTTTACTACAGCAACCTGTTTAAAAGTGCACCAGATTATTCACACTGGAGAAAAACCTTACAAATGTTCACACTGCGACAAGAGGTTCAGTCTTTCAGCAAATCTGAAAATACACGAGAGGATCCACACTGGAGAAAAACCTTACAAGTGTTCATACTGTGACAAGAGATGTAGTCATTCAGCAAATCTGAAAAAACATGAGAGGATCCACAGTAGAGAGAAGCTAAACACGTGTGATCAGTGCGGGAAGAGTTTTGCTTTTAAACGTCACCTGAAGCTACACCTGAAGATCCATGCAGTGGAGAAACCACATGAACGCAGTCTGAGATCGGGGTAAGTAGTTCATCTTTATGTGCAGAGTAACCAATTCTCTTTTTAGTTTCCTAACAGCCTCAATGAGTGACGAGACTTTTTCACACTAACACGAATATTCAGCACAAAATTCACATGAGATTTGTTTGTTCAGATCAATGTAAAAAGTAAATGTACATTCAAACTCTGACAGGAGGTGGCGCTCAAGGTAAAGCGGAAAAAAACAGCGCTGCACTACATGCCTGCTACAATAATTTAAATTTTCTAAGATCAATACAAATCACGCTGCACGTCATGTATCTAACAAACTTGGGTACGACATGTATGTAGATTGAACACGGCGAATCCAACGCGTTCATGCTGCTCGCCGTAACTTGCACAGACGGAGATTACTATCGAGCTGCTGTTGGCTCGATTAGCTGCTATTTAAAAAAATATCTGTCACTAGTTTCTGTTAGTCTTCTTGGTCAGGGCAACCCAGACCCTGACACAAGCTGTTCTTACTTCTAGACCAGCAATGTTTGGTGCTACTTAAGAACCACTTTTCCTGGTTCAGAGTTGGTGATTCCGGTGTCGAAAGATGATGAGCTGATTTGAAACTAGGCTCTGGCTCTGAAACAGCACTCAAACTGCCTTGGTGGAAAAGGGGCATCACTGTATGATGTAGCACCACGGTTCAGGAGTAACGACCACAGAAATTGCCAGGATTGGTCATCTTTTGTCTGATACGGTCCAAAATCCTACAATATGCACCGGGGATTAGGGAGAAGTACGTACATCAAACAGTATTTTCAAGTCTTCAAACTATGCTATAGTGCTTTTCAAGAATAAAGAGCTAGAGGGATGCTTTCAGATTATTTCTGCTTAGGTTTTTAGTCCTATGCAAGGGAAATGGCGTAAAGTGTGCAATGACACATTTTTCATCTCTAGAATAGCACATGCTCTGGCTGATTTAACCTTGCCAAGCACGTTGAATTTGTTTTGCAGTAATCATTTGTTCCACAAGGTGGCAGCACTGTCTCTGGCTGTTTCACAGTAGAAAATTAAACTACAACAAAATTCCAGAGACTGCAACAACAATAGATGCCGGATTGAGAAGTGCTTTAGAAACTTTAGTTTAAAAGGGTGCAAATACTTTTTTTATCGCTCCTATCTTCTGGAGAGAAATAGCTCTCACACTGGACAAAGATAAATCGACTGCTTAAGTTCACCTAGGCTATCAAATGGAGTATAGTTTGAAAGGCTACGCGTTTAAAGGTTTGCATGTGCTAGCATGCGCAAAAGAAAAAAGTATACTTTGGGCTTTATTTGCTGTCAGTTAGCAACACAGTCTGTCGTGAGCCCCCAAGTGGTAGTTTTATTTAACAGCATGTGATCAAAAGCCTGTGACACATCAAGTCGATGTCAAAAAACTAACGGCGACAAAAGCCGTCTGTGTATTTGGCCCTCTGCGGCTCAGTTTCAGATAAAAAGCTGTAACATGACATCATGACTTTTGCGTAAACATACACGCCACTTTCAAGTCAAGTGGCATGTTATCTATATGCATTTTGAGCTGTCCGTGTGCGCGTGTATGTACACGCCGTTAAATGTCAGAGCGAAACGAAGCAAAATGTAGATCTACTTCTGGGGAGCGATATTTTTTTCCTAGGATGGTAGGGGAAGACTCATAAATGGTATTAACCCCGGTGACGGCTAGGTTTAGGGACGGGGTTGAGGTAAGTCATATATTTATATATACAGTAATGTAACGTTAAGTCAACGGCGTTCATAAACACGCTGAAAAGCGATTATGCGTGTTGATAGCACGGCAAAAATGCAAATACGAATTGGTGTGTCATACACCATTTCATGAGATCAGTCTGAAAAGCTGTGCTTGAACACATTAAAAGGACTAAAGGAGACTGCCGACTAGCTTGGGGTTTCTGGGCCTGTGTGTTAGTAAATATTTGTCTATATCAGCAGATACCAAAAGTCTATAAACTCAGCAGCGTTTCCTTACTATTTTGAATAATCACGCTGATCATTTTCTTCATTCCAGTTGGTGTATGTTATTCTGTAAATAGTCGTGCATTCGAATGCTCAGGTAAGATGAAGTAAAATAAGTCTCCAGTCTGTGACAACTTTGCTCGCTTTTATTCTTGTGTTCTGACTCGTTCGCTAAGCTGAACAGTAGGGCTAAGCGATTGATTGAAATGACCTAAAATCGAATTTGAACAAGAGTGCTCCAAAATGCATACGAGGCTATATGACCGCACTGCTTTAGTGAATTCTGACCAAACTTGGTCCATGTCATCATAAGCATTACCTTAGGTTATATGCAGCTATAACAAGGTTAGATGTGGAAAGGAGCTGGGAACCAGCGAACATTCAATAATTGTAATAAATAACTAATTAAATTCAAAACTAAAAGTAAAGACGCAGTCCCTCACGGTCAAAACAAACAAAACCTCAAATAAAAATTTCCAGGCCTGACCACTCCCGATCTCCTCCGTTTCTGCTCCTCCTTAGATACGAGACCGATGCGTTGTGCAGGTGTCTCTCATCAGGAATCACTGCACTGGCCTCGCGCTGCTCTCACTGCCCTCAGCCTCGTCCTGCTTGCAACATACCCCGCTTGAGGAGCGACAGAGACGAGAGAGGGGAGACGGTTACCATAGGGGACAGAGGGGGTCCGGTTACCACAATGCACTTTCATCTCTTCCTCCACCAGCTCAATGGACGGCTCGACATTCCTCCGCCACCTGGTGGACAGCGACGGCTCCTCTGGGTTCGGGTAGTCGACAGGAGTCCCCCGTTCCCTGCTCCTCCCCATCATGGCGGATGGCAGCAGGCTCCGGCCCACGGGGAACGGCAGTGACTCTTCCGCTCCTTCAAGCATAGCAGCCGCCCCTCCAGCACTCTTCTCGGACGGCAGCCGAGCCAGTCCGTCCCCCCAGCAACGCACTGCCTCGAGCGTCCATGGTGACGAACTCTGCTCACCTTACGGACTACCGGCACATCCGGGAATTTAACCGTCAATTTCGTAACCGTACCTTTTTAGGGGAAAACAAACCAGACTTTTCATAGACTTCAATACAAAATAGCGGCACAAAACAACGTCCGTACACAGCCGGCAGACGTATATAACTTCAAAAATCACCTAGATTAAATATGTTGAGTAATTATATGTCCACCCTGCCTGCCATAGAGCGTGAAAGATACATCCACAAACTTAATTTGTTCAATTTAAAAACATGTCCCTTATTCCAGTGGTTCCCAAACCTGTCCTGGTGCCCCACCAACACTGCACGTTTTCTTACCCTCCCTAATCAAACACACCTGATTGTTAAATTCAATAAATTCTTCTCCCCACTAGAACTGTTCAAACTTACTTATTTTATGTATTGGAGAAATCAAATACATTGGCGAGCCAACCAAACCACTGCTGTTCCAAATACACCAAAATCTAACAATTTGGCGAGCCAGCCAGGAGAGACTGACAAGAAGAGAACTCACCAACTGCAACAAGGAGTAAACCGAGAACTCACCAGCTGCAACAAGAAGTAAACCGCGAACTCACCAGGGGCCTCATGTACAAAGACTTGCGTTGAATTCATACTAAAACATAGCGTACGATCAAAGCTGTAAATGTGCGTACGCACAAAAAAAACCAGATGTATGAATGTCTGCGTACGAAGGATCCCACGCATATTCTCTTTGTACATCCCAATTAACGTAAAATTGAGCGCACATGCACGAGCACAACGCCCCACCCAGTCTCCTCCCTCAATTAAATTAATTTAAATATGGTAATAGTCCAATTTGGCAAAAGAAACCTGCAAGGAAATGGCTAAAGAAACCTGCAAGAAATGAAATTCCACTGAAAATGTTTTCTATGTGAATATATGTGAAAGTGTAATTTATTCCTGTGATCAAAGCTGAATTTTCAGCATCATTACTCGTCTTCAGTGTCACGTGATCCTTCGGAAATCACTCTAATATGATGATTTGATGATCAAGAAACATTTATGATTATTATCAGTGTTGAAAACAGCTGTGCTTCTGCTTCATATTTTCATGGAAACCGTGATATAGTATTTTCAGGATTCTTTAATGAATAAAAACTTAAATCAAACACATATAGAAATCTTATAATCGTTTTTAACATTATAAATGCATGTACGGGCACTTTTAAACAAATTCAATATGTCCTGGCTGAATAAAAATATTACTTTTTTTTTTTTACCTTTACTGACCGAAATAATGAAGTTTATTTTTTATTTCCTATAGTAAAGCCAACGCTGCCATTGCTAGACGGGTTTGCACATGCTTTATGTTCTTACTTTATTGCATAATAGAATATTTTAATAAGACTCGTGTGACATAATTTGTAATTGATACATTATTTGACATATCATTAAGCAATATCTGACAGCTGGTGGTGCGATAGAACAATTCGTAAAGTAATGTTTGCCACTTCACCTTATTGCCTCTAGGAGTCGCCAACGGACAAATCAAGGCAAATGTACGTACACCAGACATGAAGTTTACTTGGAGGAACGCACATTCTTCCGTTAATTTCACTGTTAGTACATCTGGCCGTGAACGTGAAAGCTGGCGTACGCCGTGTTTTTGTACGTACGCAGTGTTGATACATGAGGCCCCAGGTGTGTGAGCCACTGACTTGTTCATTCTACCAGCGTCACATTGGTGTAACAACCTCACAGACAAACAGAAGTGTTTTACCCGAACATTTACTCGTACCTCTTCGAGTCACCAGGTAGCCAGTGAATGATTTTACTTTGTTTTCTTAGAAGTAAACCTCTTTAAATGTATTGTTATTTTTTGTATATTTGTATATTATGTCCTTATATTTGAAGTACTGAGTGCACTTTTCTGTCAATCCGATACTGTGTGGCGGTTTGTTTTCCCCTGAAAGTTGGCGTGAACTTGTTCAGAGATATTCTATGATGCTGTGGTGGTTGTGCGTATGCTTGAGGGCACCCTGGATTTCCCACAGTGAGGGCTCTTTGACAGCGCGTTCCTCCTGCGGGAACCGGCTATCTCCACTGTCATCTTTCCTCCTTTTATGCTTCCACTCCTCCGTGAGAGATACAAGACCAGTGCGTCGCGCAGGTGTCGCTCATCAGTAATCATGCCACTCGTCCTGCTCGCCACAGCTGCGTTGGTCCGGAAATGCAAAAGATTGATATTTTTGCTTATAACTTCTGAAACGCATTGTCCAAAAATCATACAAGGTCTTGTTAGATTTGGAGCGGCATGCCGAGTCAAACGATATCCAATTTTCCCATATTGACCATTTTAGTTCATCGGCACATTGCCCTGAATGAGCCTGAGAAGTTTCGAACCAGTGCCACCCAGTGCTCAAATCACATTTTCACATGCTTATAACTTTGGATTTGGTTGACTTATTTTCATCCAGGGTCTGCGCCTTATTCCTGAATCCTTGCAGAGTCCAACGATACCAAACATGCAATGTTGTTGCTTATGGTTTGTGATTTTAGCACTTCAACAACTATCTAGAATATCTTCGAAACGTTAGTCTGATTGAGACAAAACCACTGTAGGAAAGTTGAAAACAGGTCGTTGACTAAATGTTCAGACTGATCTCATGAAGTAGCGTGTGTATGACACGCCAATTCATATTTCCATTTTTGGCGTGCTATCAACGCACAAAATCGCTTTTCAGCGTGTTTATGAACACCATTGACTTAACGTTATTACTGTATATATAAATATATGACTTACCTCAACACCGTCCCTAAACCTAAACCACTGGGGTTAATGGCATTTATGACTGTTCCCTTACCATCCTAGGAAAGAAAAAGATCGCTCCCCAGATGTAGATGTACATTTTGCTTTGTTTTGCTCGGACATTTGACGGCGTGCACAGACATTGGAATGTGGAATGACGCGGACGTTAATGGCGTAGACATTCACGTATACACGCGGATAGCTCAAAATGCGTAGCGATAACACGCCACTTGACTCGAAAGTGCCGTGTATGTTTACGTGAAAAGTCATGTTGAAATGTTAATGGCCAAATGTCAAATTTCTAAAGTGGCAAAAATATGCAATCAAAGTCAGGTGTGGGTAATTTTTTATGTACATATAAATCTCTATAATTCTAACAAAATTAGATACTTTGACCAAATTTCCCACACTTATGTATGGGGGCCCTATGAGGACACATAAAAAAGTGGTGGAACACTGCCGCTTGGTATCGCTATAATTAAACAAAACATGAAATTGGCTGTAAATACAGTACTGTTCGTTTGATTGACTTCAAAATTGAAATGCAGTGTCTTGGTCTCAGTTGCTATCATAGTCAATTTATTACAATGGTATACCTTGAAAAACATGGAATGCAACTGCAATGGTTTTGGATATGGCTATATTTTACTAGCGGGTTGGCATATCGCTACGAAACTCAGTATGGTTTTTTTGGGGGGTTTTTTTTCTTTCAGCACCATGCCCTGATGGTACTCAAAAAGTTTTAAGACGGTGCCCCCTTATGGTCAAAGTTTTTATAAACTCTTTTCTTTATACAGTATATTTGAACATTTAGAAAAAATTGTTATTCATCTCACACCATGTCTGTTGGAAATAACACTTGTTTGTTTTTGGCAGAACAACCAGAAAGCATCTGGAGGGAAAGGACAGAGAAGTGGAGGTGGAGGAGGAACATCATGTCAAACCTGGAAAAAAATATTTTAGTCGCTCAAAGACCAAAAATACATTTTTAATGAAAGGAGACAAGAAATCATTCTCCTGCACTCAGTGTGGAAAGAGTTACACAACCAAAGGAAGTCTTGAGCGTCACGTTAGGATCCACACTGGAGAAAAGCCCTTTAAATGTGATCAGTGTGGGAAGAGCTTCACTTACAAAGAAAGGCTTGTGTCTCACATGAGAGTTCATTCTGGAGAAAAGCCATACGCATGTGATCAGTGTGAAAATACTTTCTCAAGAAAAGGAAACCTTAAGTGTCACATGAGAACCCACACTGGAGAGAAGCCGTTCACGTGTGATCAGTGCGGGAAGAGCTTCTCCAAAAAAACACATCTTATGGCGCACATGAATATCCACACTGGAGAAAAGCCGTTCACATGTGATCAGTGTGGGATGAGTTTCGGTCTATCAGCATACCTTAAAGGACACATGAGGGTCCACACAGGAGAGAAGCCGTTTATTTGTGAACAGTGCGGAAAGAGTTTCCCACACAAATATAGTCTTGTACTTCACAATAGAGTTCATACTGGAGAGAAGCCGTTCTCATGTGATCAGTGCAGCAAATCATTTCTTAGTGCAGGAGCCCTGAAGACACACCTAACAGTTCATACGAAGGTGAAGCCACATTCATGTTCTGTGTGTGGGAAGAGTTTTTCACTGCTGCAATATTTAAAAATACACCAGAAAACTCATACTGGTGTGAGAGCTCACATGTGCTTTGAGTGTGAGAAGACTTTTACTACAGCAACCTGTTTAAAAGTGCACCAGATTATTCACACTGGAGAAAAACCTTACAAGTGTTCACACTGCGACAAGAGATTCAGTCTTTCAGCAAATCTGAAAATACACGAGAGGATCCACACTGGAGAAAAACCTTACAAGTGTTCACACTGTGACAAGAGATGTAGTCATTCAGCAAATCTGAAAAAACATGAGAGGATGCACACTGGAGAAAAACCTTACAAGTGTTCACACTGCGACAAGAGATTCAGTCAGTCATCAAATCTGAAAATACATGAGAGGATCCACAGCAGAGAGAATCCGCTCCATCTGAAAGCAGGTGAAGGTGATTTACTACTAATCAAGGAACCGGCTTTACTGATTAGATGCGCATAACAATATCGTGCGATATATCGCCCAGCCCTAATGCCAGTTATATTTGCTTGTTCAATAGTACTCGAAGAACAGCTCTGTGATGCGATCCCCATTCAGTCTACCGTCAACTACGTCCGACATTATCGACTGAAGGGGAATGTCCTGGTTGCATATGCAACCCACTGTTCCCTGAAGGAGGAAATGGAGGACGTAGTCCCCTTGCCACTATCGCTGGACCACCGCTGACTCCGGGTTACTCTCGGCTCCTCAGCGAAGAAGCAACTAGTGCGTGCATCCACTTCCGTATTAATACCCGCGCACGGGGACGAAGTGTGTGATGCGAATCATGCATGCCAATTACATTGGCTTGTTCAATAGTACTCGAAGAACAGCTCTCTGATGCGATCCCCATTCAGTCGACCGTCGACTACGTCCTCCAGTCCATCCTTCAGGGAACTCAAAACACATCTGTTTAGCTGTGCATTTACTGCACGAGTACTACCGTATGTGACTGTGCAGCTTACACGGATTTATTTCTGCATCCTCCTTTTGATTCTAAATTCGAAGAGACAAACATAAATGACTAAATTGGAGATATTAAGAGATGAAACCATGCTACTGACTTGGGTCTTTGGTGGAGAGTTTGATGTGTAATTAACCTTGATTTTCTGTGGGGTCCGGACTGGATCGACTCCATTCCTAGAGCTTCCGAACAAATGGGTTTTTTGGGGTGTGGACTGATATAGTTTTACTCTCACACTGTGTCTGTGGTTTTTATTCGGCAGACGGTGCAAATACTTTCTTTCACTGCTCATATCTTATGAAGAGAAATAGCTCTCACACTGGACAAAGATAAATCGACTAAAAATGTTCGCACACGCTATCAAATGGAGCAACATGACTTTTTGCGTAAACATACATGCCACTTTCGAGTCAAGTGGCGTGTTATCTCTTTTTTTGAGCTATCCGCGTGTATGCGTGAATGTCTACGCCATTAACGTCCGAGTGATTCCGCGTGTCTGTACATGCCGTCAAATGTCCAGTCATAAATGCCATTAACCCCAGTGACGGTTAGGTTTAGGGACGGGGTTGAGGTAAGTCATATATTTATATATACAGTAATAACGTTAAGTCAACGGCGTTCATAAACACGCTGAAAAGCGATTATGCGTCTTGATAGCACGCCAAAAATGGAAATACGAATTGGCGTGTCATACACATGCTACTTCATGAGATCAGTCTGAATGGAGAATAGTTTGAATGGCTACGCGTTGGACAGTATGCATGTGCTAGCATACGCACAGAAAAAAAAATACTGTGGGCTTTATTAGCTGTCATTTAGCAACACCGTCTGTCATGCCAAACCAACAGGTGTCAATTTAACCCTAACCTTAATGCCATGTTGGCCAATCAGAAGCCTGAAAAATGCTATTACCGCTAATGTTAGGGTAACAGCATGTTATCATAAGCAGTGACCTGCGTAGTTTTGCATTCTGATGCCTCTTTTGGGCAAAATAATGGGAGAACTGTGTATATATATCTATACTATATATATATCTGTATATATGTTATAAGCATTGTTAGGACAGCTATCAGCAGCGATATTTTGGGTACGTTTGCCATTGCACAGATTCGCATCATGCAAACAAAGGAGATAACAGCACACACTCCAACGTCACCAAGCAAGAATCAGTTTCACCGTCTACACGACAAACATTGCAACCAATGTTTCTAAAAGTTTCTTTACCCTGGAAGGAGCCAAACCACATATAAAATGCAGTTTTGAAAATATGATTTCAAAAACAAAAAATTGTTTTGCTGTGGCTTCGATAAAACTTGATGAATCAATATGTTTTTGTTTTTGTTTTGTGATTAGTCTGAAACATGCATTACTCGCACCATATCTGTTGGAAACGAAACTTTTCTGTTTTTGGCAGAACTGAAGAAGAGGACGGAGAGAACGCCAGTGATCCAGAACCTGCAGAATGAATCCTCTTGATACTGAAGAACAAAGAGGTTGGTGTTGAAATTCTCCAGAGAATGTTTCAACATTTTTGTTTGACCCGTTGGAAGCAAACACTGAACCAAACAATTTTTTAAATATTGAACAAGCAAATTGGTTGTGTTAGCAGCAGCGGCCAATCAGCTTGTGCCGTGTAGTAAACAATGCGATTTCTTTCAGATAACATGTCAAGATTGCATCATCTTGAGTTTCATGACCAAACTAGTGATTTATATATATTTTTTTTACATTTGTCTCTCAATTGAAATCTCACATGATTTAATGTTTCCTTTAGACCTGATGGACATGAACAAGGAAGAAAAGATCTGTCTCTTGCCCTCAGTCTAAAAAACGCTTCACATGAAAATCAAGTCTGAAGAGAGAGAGATCCACACTGCTCTCTCATTCTGAAGAAGAGCACCAGAAAAATGATATGTTCAGGGAGCTGAAGAAGAGGGCGTAACATGAATCTGAAGTTTAATTTTATCTCGTTCATTGTTTGAGATCTGTCATTTTTTGTACTTCAAGTAATAATTGATTAAAACATTAAACATTTTATTTACAGCTTATTGTTTCTGTCCAATTTTATTGGCATCAGGAATATTTCATAACATAGAATCAAGGAATAAGTTCCCAGCGAACACAGAACGGTCCCCAAACATTAGTATTTGGTTAATGTTTGGTTATTGTTTTAGGAACTAAATAAAAATGTTTTAGGAATTTTCTTTTTTGGCAACAATAAAATATCTAGCGATGGGCAAGAGTACTCGTTCGTGACTGCGACGAGCGATCTTGAAAACGATGTTCAGACCTGACCTGAAAAAAAAGTCTATTTTTCTGATTGGTTATTGCAGTATTTGGGGGCGGTACCTGAGATCTGATTGGTCAGTGTTCATCGCGCTTTCCAGATCTGCGAAATAAAGTGTGTAGCAAATTAACTGTGAAGAAAAATGAATAACCAATCATAACTTGTTATAATTGATTATAAATATATTGATCAGTTAATAGAATTAACTTTATGTAGTAAAATTAATATTAGAATCAATTAACCTGTTTGTGCCCTGAACACTCAGTGTTTATTAATTCAAATAAATGTGCATTTCCGGGTTATGGGAAATGCATTTTTTGACTGTACAGTACTGCCTGTAGTCAAGATCTATGATTAGTGACTCCAGATATGAGCTTGAGACACAGACAACTTTACGTGTGACATGAACAAGACTTTATTAACTAGACTAAACATTTAAATTACTCTAATACACATACATGTATGTCCACATCTCCGAGCGGGCCTCGAACCCGGGTCTCCGGCGTGAGAGTCAGGCGCTCTAACAAGGAGGCTAAAGAGATCGGGGAGTGAGGTTTACTCGAACAGCAACTACTAGCTGTCCTCCGTTACATATGCATACAGTTTACTAAGGGAAAGAGCTGAAGCAGAATCCAGGAAAGCAAGAAGTTATAGCATTGTCTGATGTTCAGCAGATCAACAGCCTGAGCAAACCATCAGTTTATTTTTAACACGGGTAAGGATACTTAATGTATCAAATAATGAGATGAGTTTGATACTTAGTGTCTCACCCTTTTGATTTAAACTGTCCTGATGCAATTTGTTGAGGCTCCAGTTGATCTTTGTTGATGCGGTCTTGATGAGAGAGAACCAGTGTGAATCTGAAGATCTTTGGAGAATGGAAAGACAAGGCTGCAGCCTGGACCAAGCTTGTGGTCCTTGGTTGCCTTCTAGTTCAACATCATCTTCACATTATGAAAGTTCTCAGAAGTTCTAAATATTGTAGTTCAGCTATTCTAAATAGAAGTGGTTGCAACTTTAAATGTAATAGAAATAAAGCATATAACGATATATATATATATATATATATATAACGATATATATATTTATATATTTATATAACGATATTATGTAACACTTAAGAAAAACACCACAAAACAGTAATAAACCACGCTTTTTATATGAAACATCAAGAGGAATCGGATTTCATGGCTACTGTCACCATCTGCAGTGATCTTAGAGCCCAAGAAAACTAAATCTGTCACTACTGCCTTTTCTTACCTTTCCATTGGCCTGGAATCGATTGGACCTGACGCCATGATCTTAGAGTTTCAAGCCAACTTTTGCACTCTCCTCTTTGACAGTATACATTAAAGCAATAAGCCCCTTGATTTGAAGCTGTGGTTTAAAGGGATACTCCACTTTTTTTTTTTGGAAATAGGCTCATTTTACGACTCCCCCAGAGTTGAACAGTTGAGTTTTACCGTTTTCAAATCCATTCAGCCGATTTTCTGATATTTAGAAGAATATCAGTAACCAGACAGTTTCTGGTCTCATTGACTTCCACAGTAGGAAAAAAATTTACTATGGAATTTACTATGTTTACTATAATTTACTAATTTACTATGTTTATGTGTTATTGCAGTAAGATCTTTACGTTTTTGTGATAGTAAAGTTATGTGTGTTAATGTTCAAGTTAGATCAGATGTTTCATTACTGCATAATGCAAAAATGTGAGAGAGATGTGTAAGGCAATAGGGCGTTGCCTGAGTGTTTTTTTTTTTTTTTGTGTGTGTTCATTTATAAAAGGGGAGAAGTTATTGCTAGTGTTTCCTGCTTGTTAATTCAACTAGTCTCAATTTATGGGAACATTCTAGGTCGTGCGGTGTATGGGACAAGAGTGTTCTGATCTTATGTAAGAAATTAGCGTAGTTTAAGTGTTGTTAGCATAGTTTAGCTCCGGTTAGACCTATTTATTCCTATTTGTTAACTACTAGTTCTTATATATTATATTCAAGCGCTTTTTCATTAACCTGTACATGGGGAACAGCGACAAGGACTCTCCCACTAAAGCCCTGCTTCTCCAGATCCTCAACGTCACCAAGTGAGATCCAACACCCAGATCCT